GTTGCACTAACATCCTTTTGTTTTCAAATTATTGATTAAATGTTTCATAAATATCTTATTACTTTTTATTGTTATTAAATTATTCCTTTCTATGGAATTTAATTATTTGTTAAAGATGATTTTGTTATATTTTTTTATTATATTGTTATTAAAATATATAAATTGTGTTTATCACTCACCATGTATGTGTCAACTTTGGCTAATACTGAAAATTTAATATAAAAAAAAAGCAATCACTTTAATATGTGATGTTAGACAACTTGTTTAAATACAAATGTTAGAAAATATGTATTTTGGCTATGTTGCATATTTTTGGAATTTCTTTAATTGTTTGAAACTTATATACAAGAAAATATGGAATATTGAACTTTTTCGCTTGTGTTATATATGCACCACTATGTTGTTATTTTGAAACTTGCTAATGTCCTATATTATTGATTATTGATTTTTGGAACTTCGTGAGTTTTTACTAATTTCAAGACATGAGAATAGAAACCGTAAAACCCGGACCGGACCGACCCGTTTCAAACGGGTCGGGTAATTTCCGGTTCCTATTTTGAAAATTGTAATATCCGGACCGGACCGAACCGTACAATGGAATCGGCGGTTCCATTTTATTTTGCATTACCCGCCCCGACCCGGCCCGTGCCCAGCCCTAACACACACACTTCTATATATATGAGGGTTGTTCATGTACATATGGATGTACAGGAAGCTCCGTACGGACAAAGCCATTAAAGGCCCTTTCAGGTGGAATTTTTCGATGAATTTTTTTGAGCATGTTCTTAATCAAGTATAGTTTATCCATACCAAATTTCAGCTCAAAATTCAATCGGGAAGGCAGTCAAATAAATTCTTGAAATATACTGCACATTATATGTGCGCAGAATGCGTCATATGTTTCAAGAATTTATTTGACTGCCTTCTGGATTGAATTTTGAGCTGATATTTTATATGGATAAACTAGACTTTCTGAAGAACATACTCTAAAATTTTCATCAAAAAATTCCACCGAGAAGGACCTCTAATGGCTTTGTCCGTATGGAGGATCCTCTACATCCATATGTACATGATCATTCTTCTATATATATATATAGAGAATTATTCAGGTCCGGCCAAGCCGGACCACTCCCCTGTCCGGCCACCTCAATTTGAGGTGGTTCCCGGTGGTATTTTTTGCCCAATTTTTTTTTGTATGTTCCTCATCAAGTCTAGTTCATCCATACCAAATTTGAGCAAAAAATTCAATCGGGAAGGTCGTCAAATGATTTTTGCAAGTTCACTGCGTTTTATATGTATATTCCGGACCAGTTAACTTGAAAAAATCATTTGACGACCTTCCCGATTGAATTTTTTGCTCAAATTTGGTATGAATGAACTAGACTTGATGAGGAACATACACAAAACATTTGGGAAAAAAATACCACTGGGAACCACCTCAAATTGAGGTGGCCGGACGAGCCTCCTGTCCGGCCTGGCCGGACAGGAAAAGGACATATATATAGTTCTATTGATTTTCTGGTCTATACAAGTCAACTAAAGCTTCCATGGCGTTTAATTTTCTTTTCCCATAGATAAGTTAGTACTTCCTTCCTCTTTCTTTTGGCTGTGCTTTTCTTGCTTCACTGTTCTTGTCACTTCTTGATGTCACTCTGTAGTTTTTTGTTCTGATTTATATAGATTTCCCATTCATTCTTTTTTGGTTATTGCATCTCTTTGGATATTTCCACTTTGAGGGTTGGTTCAAAGGCTTGGCAGGATGTCCCCTCCATCTATATAATCCTTATCAAACAGGTTTTTGAATGCAAGAAATTTTATGGTTTGGTCAATTTAACTTTCCTTTTTTCCCAGGATAAAAGTTAATTATTACCTATTTAGAAGTGGACTATAACAACTTATAGAATGCCAAAATTTAAAAACATTTCCTTATTAGACTTTGAACAGAACAACATTTAGAATCCAAGTCATTTGAAAAAATATAAAAGCTGAGGAACAAAACAACTCTTTTGTCGGCTACTGTTAGTCTGTTATTAGGATTTGTTGTCAATGCTAATGGGTTCTGCCTTCTTAACAGTAGCTTTAGTTGCGTTTAGCTTAGCAAACTTGTTCCTGTAGAACTTGTCATCCTTCTTATTGAACTCTTTTACTTTCTCTTTCAACACTTTGTATTCCAATTTTACATCCTTATTGGTAGGATCAATTTCAAGAGCCTTCTTAATATCAAACTCAGCCAGGTTAATACAAGGGGTTAGTTCATAAATAATACTGTACTAATTAAAATGGTTTGGACAAATATAAGACCTCTTTTCACTTTTACCAAAAAAGTGATATAAGTGTGTTTCATTTGGAAAATTAGGATTAACATGACAAATATTCCCTCTAACGGGAAAACTAAATACGGAGTACTCCTTGCGCGTTCCACCTAGAGAATGAATATGAATGAATGATACTCCGTACGTAGTAAAAAGTTTACTTATTTGTTTTTTTATTTTATTTCTCAAAAAAGTATTATATCATTCACGATTAAATTACTTGATTCGATAATTTCACGTCCAATCAGTTATAATTATTCGTCTGATTAACTACAATTATTCGATCTAACCAGTTACAATTACCCGACCCGATCAGTTACAATTATCCAATACGAGCAGTTACAGTTATCTGATATGACCAATTACAGATTTACAGGTACCTAATCTGACCAGTTACAATTATCTAATTCGGTCAGTTACAGTTATCCGTCCAACTAGTTACAATTACTCAATCCGAACAGTTACGATTACTCGATTCGACCAGTTACAGTTATTCGTCCAACCCGTTAAAGTTACACAATTCGACCAGTTACAATTACTCGATTTGACCAGTTACAGTTACACGACTCGATCAATTGCAGTTACCCGGTCTAACCAGTTACAATTACCCAATACAATCATTTAACATTATCTGATGGACCACCTGTTGCTAGCGCCGTGACCAGTGGCCATTTCGACCGTGACCAATCCGACCGCGATCAATCCTACCGTGACCAATTTGACGGTTACCAATCCAACCAGTGACCAACCCGACCAACGACCGTGACTGACCTAACCAATGACCAACCCGACCAATGACCCAATCCGGCCAGCACCAACCGGCCAGTGAACTCCACACCTCGGCGGTGACATTTGCCGCTCCGGCAGTGACAAGCCCACTAGCCCCACCCCCGTTCCAGCTACTCCCCCCTTCCCGGCCAGCAAGAACCCCCCAGCGCACAACCCTGTCCAATCCCCCCCCCCTTCCAGACAATGGCCAAGGCACTGTACAAAGGATCATCGATAAAGTGGAGTACCGGCGCCGTCCTATCAATCCTCGCCCACCGGCGCTCTAGCCGTAGCCGTCCAGATCTAACCGCACAACCGCTCCAAGTAGATATGCAACTGCACCGTCCGTCGATTCCGGCGGCGCTCAAACAGAAATAGAAACAAGCTAGAGAAGAAGGCAACTTCGACTAATAGAAGCGGACCTAGAGCGATAGGGTCAACGTTGGCTACAATGGAGATGACATGCGATAGTGCGGCTGTGTGAATCGAGAAGCAAAGCATCGAAGATCCGAGCAGAGCATGTCGTGCGACCTGAAAGTGAGGTGGAACGGCGGCTTGGACGGAAAGGCGGAGCAACAGCGAGGCAGTGACGTGGAGGTAATCTTTGAAGCAGAGATTGACCTCCATGGTTGTCTGCTCTCCTGATTCTAGATCCTAGCTATCGACGGGAAGTACTGCTCTGCAGAGAAGAGTTAAGTTAGTAGGGCATTTTAGACATTTCATATAATCTCAGTCTCTTTTTTGTCCCATACAAAAGATGGTGCTACTTTTGTCTAATCAAAAGCTATAAGTCTTATTTTTGCCATTTTTTCTTAATACAATACCGATTCGGTGCTACATTTTTTTTTGAATAACCGATATATGAAACAATAGTATCATATTGGTACAGTTCTGGTATATTGCTAATCATCAGTGGTTAACCGCTAAGAAATAAAAAAATGTTGAACCATTAATGTGTTTCATCGTTAAACCGCTAAAACATAAAAGTATAATATCAAACTAATAAATATTTAACTGTAAATAGGTAAACACACTTTAACAAGCTAACAGTTTAAAGAAAACAATTGGTAAGAAGAAAAACTCATTGCATATATGCTCGTACTTCATGTAGTAACGAGTGTAACAGTTGTGTAAAGATTTGTATTCTTACCCATTGAGTTGTGTAGTACGTAGTATAAAAATAGATCATAAAGAGACTGATCTAGTTTGTTGATGATTTTTCCAAATTTTAGTTTGTTAACTAATAAAAAAAAATTGGATGCATATGCATCATTTATTACTCTAGAACTCCGCATTGTGAGATGAATATTATACTTCAATTATTTATTTAATTGTTTGTTACCATATTATATAGACTTACAAAAGAAACTACTCATTGTAGGACTAAAACTTAGCATTCTTCACAGAATAGAATCTATGATTGTTTTTTTTATTACTTAAATAGGACTAAACTTAGATTACAACCTCTAATCTAATTAGTTAATAAACTTAATATGGGGCATAATTAATTTCCTCCTAATTTGCTTGCATAATCTGGATCAGTTCGTTAGTGACAACATCGAATTCCAATGACAGAAAATCGGCGACAACGAATTGGGGGAAATTTCAGCAACCCCGATGACAGTCCAAATTCAATAGTAACTTTATTAAAGTCTATGAGTAGTTCATGAATTTATGAAAATCAACAAAATTCATTCATAAAACTAAGGGGGTGTTTGGATTCGATTTTTAAAACTGATTCTCCCCTTAAGGGAGCAGAAACAGAAGTTGGAGTGTTTGGGTGAAAGTCCAGAAGTGATTCTGGTGCTCTAATTTACTCCTAGAATCAGTTTTTTAGAAGCTGGAGGGACCAACTTCTGAAAACTGTTTTTGTTTCTACTTCAGCTTTAAAAAAGAAGCAAATTCTAAACACCCCTAAAAATCCCTTACATAATCCATTTACTCCAAACAATACACATCCTTTGTAAATAATTTTTCTCTGAATGTGTTTGATATGCTTCCAACAAGTCAACCAATTCACTTGTAAACAATAACGGAGTATGTTTGATATACTTCCAACCCTAATTCGGCATTTCTTCTCGTTATCGTGAAAGCCATGGAGGTTTCTGTATTTTTGGATTCAAGTACCACCACCTATTCTGGGTTAGCTCTTCTTAAGTGATACTCCGTACTACGTATTTTATTCTGGATATGTTTAGGAAAGCATAAACATAACTATGGCATCCGTGTATTCCGAATCGTAGTTTTGTTTCTGTTTTTTCTTTCCCACTAATGTATTAAAGTTACGAAATTACCTGCTTCTAATATATCTGTTGCGAATATTTTTTTTTGAATCGCTCATCCTGGTTCTATGGTATTGCAAGTGTTCCTATTGAAGTGTCTGTTTCACAGTATCACTGTTTTTTTACTTTGATTCTTTTTATTGTTATATTTGTTTGTTAAAGAGATGCTTTGGTGGTTCATAGATTTGCTTATAGATTAATAAGTCATATCATTAAGAGATTCCAGTGCTTAACCATCACTGGCTTCCCTGTTTATTTCATTGGCTGTCTATTATTTTGTACTCTTCAGTTTATGATGAATTTGATGTTTTTTGCTTTTTCGAAAATGGCAGATAGATCCCTCACTTATGTTCAGCCATTCATTCATAATTGTTTGAAGTGTTCCTATTGAAGTGTCTGTTTCAGTCTCGCTGTTTTTTGCCTCTAATTTTTTGTATTGTCATATTCTTTTGTTAAAGAGGTGCTTTGGTCAAAAGTGTTGGTTTTTCATTTTTCAAACTATCATATAATGCATTTTTTTTTAAATTTTCTTATTAATTAATAAGTCATAACATGAAGATTCTCCATTATTTAACTATCCCTATTTCTTTCAGTGGCTCTCTATTATTTGTTCCTTTTCAGTTTATGATGACTTTAAAGTAATTTGTTTTTTCAAAAATGGCAGATAGATCCTTCATTCGGGTATTCGAATTGTTTGGGACAAAAAGTTGCTCCTGGACAATTCAGGGAAAAAAGAGTGGCATAAATAAAATTAACTGAAATAGGAGGCTGATATGCATCTTTAGTTTAATAGTCATTTGAGTCGATTCTATACAATCCTACAACCATGGATCTCCCAAAACCAAAGAAGAGAAGTAACCGCCTCCTCTTAAAGCAGAAGAAAGAAGTAGCTGAAGATGAGCCCAAGAATAGATTTGGTCATTTGCCGCCAGAAATTGCCAAGGACATTCTCTCGAGGCTTCCCAATGTCCAATCTATAATCCAGTTCAGGTCTGTATGTCATTCCTGTGAACTCTGGTCTCATGATTCCCATGTTTTTCGTATGCACTTCTCTCGGAGTAGTAGTACAGGGTCGAAACTCCTCTATTTTTATTCATCAAATGAGGAACTCCACTTTGTCGAATTCTCTGATATTAATGAAGAAGGATTGATTGCAAGAAAAATTCAAAATGCATTTGTTGATCTGACACCAAGATCGTTTTGGGTGTATGGCTCATCCAATGGCATTATGATATTACAAGATCTGCATAATTGGAAATGGAACTGCCTATATAATCCTTTCACAAGGGACTATAAACTTGTACCCGAACTGGACGGCTCGTCATCTTTTTCATATTGGTGGCCTGCATGCCATCCAGTTACCAACGATTACAAAATATTTGCTATACGCCCCATGTATAATTCGAAGGAATTTTGGTCAATGGTCTATGTATACAGTATGAGTAGAAATGAGTGGACAAAATTAGGAGAATTTTCTTTTAAAGTAGAAGATCAGTCGGAAAATAAAGGAGTTTTGGTCAATGGGAGACTCCACTGTCTCACTGTCAAAGGGAAATTGACTCGTTTTCTTAATATAACATCGATTGGCATCATGGATTATTCTGTCAAGGAGGTTCCCATGCCTGCGGAGGTTATATTTAAAAACAGTAAAAGATCTCAACTTGCTGTTTTAGGGGGATGTTTGTCGGTTGGCGTAAGAAGAGTTGATTCAAGGATGCATATTTGGGTGATGAAAACATATGAAATGGAATCATCTTGGGTGAAGCAGTATGTTTTTGGGGCTGAATTTCTTAAATTTGATCGCAATTGGAGGAGCCGTGGCAAAGAAATGTTACGGATTGTATGCCTTCTTAACAAGGAAGAAATCTTGCTTGTTTACGATGGATACGGTGGATATGGGCAAGGAGATTTGATTTCATACAATGTTGTTACTAAAGGTTATAAGACTCTCACTTTTGGGGGAACACTGCAAACAACGTCATTTAGAACAACGGTTGATACATGTTGCTGGTCAGCTTAAATGAACATTTCACTCACATTCTAATACTGCGTTCTTGCTCGTGGAAAAGAAGCATTGTCATATGGCCTTTCATAGGTTCACTGTTATTCACAATTATTTTAGACTGATATTTTTGGAGAAGCAATCAACTTAAAAGAAATTGGTGTGGAGAACTATGAAAAATGAACCGTTTGTAATATGTTCTTGATGTCTGTAAAGGTGGTTGACAACTCCTGAATGGTCGTATTTTTGTTATGTTTAGACGGTTTAGTATATGATAATAATGTTTCTAATGATGATGTTTGAAGATCCATGATTTTAAACGATGTCTAGTTTTTTGTTGATTGTTTTCAAATACACACAATGTCCCCATTTTTAAATAATTGCAACGAGTTGAACTTGACATTTATATACTTTTTTTGATTTCACGTTACTTATTAATGTATTACAAAAAAAAATGGTTAATGGAATCACAAGGGAAAATGGTCAAAGTTGTTGGTTGATAAACATAAAATTTTAAGCATTGCAATTATAGACGAACTGAGTAAATACATGTTAGTTATGAAATTAAGTGAAATACGAAGTTGGAAAAATGAGTTCTGGACTCATTTTGCTGATTCATAATTGGCCTCTTCCGTATTATTATATTACTTATATAGTTCTATTTATTTTCTTGTCTATACAAGTGAACTAAAGCTTCCCAATAGATAAGTTAGTACTTCCTCTTTCTTTTGAGTGTGCTTTTCTTGCTTCACTGTTGTTGATGTCACTCTTTGTAGCTGTGTTTTTGTTCTGATTTATATAGATTTCCCATTCATTCTTTTTTTGGTTATTTGATCTCTTTGGATATTTCCCCTTCAGGGTTGGTTCAAAGGCTTGGCAGTGTGTCCCCTCTAGGACTGGGTCCGAAAAACTGAAAACCGAAAACCGAATCAAATCATACCGAACCGTAGCCAAATAAAACCGAACCGCTAACAAACCGAAACCGAATGTAAAAAACCGAATCTAACCGTAGTTGTTTGGTTCGGTTTTGGTTTTTACCCTTCAAAACCGAACTGAACAAACCGAACTAATAAAATATAAAATTTATTTGTCAATTGTTAAGCATTAATCCTAACTAATCCTAATATAATTAATAGTCTTTGGTTTTCTTGTGCTAGAGAAATAATGTTTGTGTTATATTTTGTTTAGTTTATAAATTCATTTACACATTCATTGCCCGTAATAATGTAGGTATACTGAATGATGATAATATATGGTTTTACTAGTTATTAGTACTCCGTATTAAATAACTTTTATTTTCATTTAACTTAAAGAATTCATATTGATGAAACAATAAATATTCACCTCAACTATATCACATAGAACATGTACACTCATGAACTTTTTTGAACTAGTCACAAACAATGTAAATTAAAAATATATATACTTTTATCTCTCTCGCATACTCATATAATTCAAGACATATTTATTTATTTTCATTTTTATTTTATTTGTTGTAGTGTGTTTGCATTCCTTATGTAATATATGTTTGATCCCTCAAAGTATTATATGAATTTTAAATCAAATGATAATTTTTTGGTAAAAAACCGAAAAAACCGAAACCGAATCGAAACAAACCGAATCAATCAAACCGTGGTTCCAAGTTTTGGAGTGTAAAACTGAACCGAAACCGGACCGAAGTTTTTACTTTGATTCTATATTTGGTTTTAGGTCAAAACTGAACCGCAAGAACCGAATTCACCCCTAGTCCCCTCCGTCTATATTATTCTTATCAAACATGTTTTTAAATGCAAGAACTTTCTATGCCTCTATGGTTTGGAATGTTTTCTTTTGGACTGAAATTTGCTGGTCTGGTCTGGTCTGGTCTGTTTAAGTCTTGTCTGGTCTGAACTGGTCTAGTCTGGTCTGGTAAACGTCTGGTCTCTGTGTATTTTATAACTGTCCAAGTCTGGTCTGGTCTGTTTAAGTCTGGTCTGGTCTGGTCTGGTCTTGTTTGTTTAAGTGTGGTCTGGTCTGGTCTGGGACTGAAAACAGTCCGAAAACATCCTAAGTCTATTTAACTTTTCTTATTTTTCCCAGAAAAAAAGTTATTCATTAACGAAATAGAAGTGGACTATAACAACTTATAGAATGCCAAAATTTAAAAACATTTCCTTATTAGGCTTTGAACAGAACAACATATAGAATCCAAGTCATTTGATAAAATATAAAAGCTGAGGAACAATAGCCAAGTCCTGCTTTTGTCTGATGAACCAAATGCGTATTCTGGAGCAATGGTTAGCAATGCCACTTCATAGTCATCACAGCTTTGTCCAACCCATTGTTGACTTGCTCCTCATCAGTCTCGAACTCAAAAAGCTGATCTTCACTATCAGCATCATGACCCTTGTTGATGAAGTCTGTACCATCCCGGAGCTTTCTGATCAAATTAAATTTTTACAATGGTTCCATATATCATTGGGGCGCTCGTATCCTTCTCCTTCCTTCGACATCTTTTTCTCAGCATTCTTATCAACAATAACATTTGTAACTGACTTCCAAGTAACAAGCTCCAAATCAAGTAGCAATGTTGAATTTCGAAGTTTTGGTCAGTTTAACTCTGATTTGGTGACTTTATGGTGTATGTGTGTTTTTATCTAATTTGATCCGTTTAGGTATGATATGTGTGATTAGGATTGAAACTAATTCAATTAATAAAAATTAAAAACATCATTCCTATTAATAAAAAACTTTCCACTTTTGTTGAAAGGAATTTCCTGGGTTGAGGTCTGAGCACTTATTCCAATGAGATCTGCATTGTTCTGGTGACTACAATTGATTGGTGCATTTGTATTTAACATATTGTATAAAGTCACGCATCAACGTGTCACATAAATTCTAGTTTCTCAAATACTCTGTAAGAAATAAGTTACACCACTATATTTTAGAATAATAAAATACGGAGTATACAGTAATACGAAATACTGTCATATTAGAATAATAATTTGGAATAATAATTTGGAATGCATCTTACAAACCGCACCAAACTCATATTTTTATTCATATTATGAAGATAGAGTCTGTTTGATAATTATGTTTTTTGTCTTATCGGACTTATAAATCACTTGTTCACTAAACACATCACTTGACGCGTTGAATTGTATAATAATAAGAAAAAGTAAGGTTATAGTTATGTTTCTGGCTATATTGTCTGAAGTTATTGTAGATGGTCATTTTAGATGTATTTCATATAATTTTTCTTTATTTTATTAATAAAATATATTTTAAATGTGTTTTTGATAAATAAGTAGTTGTTTTCGGGTATAATTTTATAAATTTAAACAGAATCAGCTAATGCAGGTGATTCGGGTATTCCCAAACGAGCTCTAAAAGTTCTAAAAAAATTGATATGTGTATCCGATTATTTAAAAATCACAAAAAGAACTTCAAAATTTAAAAAATAGAGATACGGTCCGAAATATACGGTATGAGTATCCTATAGTATTAGATACACAATGGAGAACCTGGGGTGCAAGAGGCAAATGCTCCATTTTCTGACCCCGAAATTTAGTATTGGTACTTGTGATAAAATTAGTGTCCATTTCCAACCCCGAAAATTAGTATTGGTACTTAGTGCCCCATTTCCGAATAAAAATGTAATGATTACTACTATCTCTGTCCCATATGTAAGATGCATATGAGTTTGGTGCGGTTTGTAACAAGAATAAAAATTAAAGTGATTGGTTGACAGTTCTATCCTTCAAACGTAGATAGTGAAATGATAGATAATGATACAAAGTGAGAAAGTAAAACGTTAGTGGGGTCCAATTTAATAAATTGATTATAGTTTTTCGGGTCAACCTAAAAAGGAAAGAGTATATTATAAAATGAGACGAAGAGAATAAAATGGATAACTACTTTTCCATCATTTTCAATGTAGCCAAAGACTTACTATTTTGGTTTTGAAATATGATGAAATAAAACGAAATGACTCACTAAACTGTAAGAAACTTTGAATTGTTGTACAAAACGGGGTTGTCAAGAATTTTGCATGGATTAACGAATCCTTCTACAACTTGATCCGAAATGTATGAAAAAGTGATTTTGTCACGAAAAATTTGTCAGTGTAAAATGATAAATTAGTAGGTATGGGACTTTGGAACCAAGAACCGAACCGGACAGAACCGTTATGACCCAGTTCACTTCTGAATTGAAATTTATTAGTTATTTGTTAATGGTTCGGTTCCTATTTTTTATTAACGGTTTGGTTCTCGGTTCCTGAAAAAAAATATGTACCCGGAACCGTTATATATAATTAGTATATATATTTTAATGTATATTTACTTATCTATTCTCATACGTACGTAGTATTGCATTCACTATTTTAGTTTAGTTATTTAACTCAGGGGCGGCCCTGGGGGGGGGGGGCAGGTGGGGCGGGTGCCCTAGGCCCAAAAAAATGAAAATTTTTTAGGCCCAGAATTATTTCTTTATAGTATATTTGAGTAGGCTGAGTTTTAACCCAAAATTAATATTTTTGTACAAGTTCAGGAAGCCCAAGAACGCAAAAGGCCCAAAATTGAAAAAAAGGAAGAACTAACGTGCAGTCCAATTAGTTAAATTTATAAATTTAACTAATTGATTAGCTATATTAAGTATTGAGCATAATAATGTCTTAGAAAAGCTTGATTATGACGCTATAGTTGATGACACCGGCCTTAGCAAGTGTATTGTATCGGGGCGTTATTTATCATTAAATAATTTTTTATTCGGTTATTTTGAAAACATTATTCGACTATGTTTAATTTAACGAATTCAAGTATTTTCTTTATTCTAAAGGTATTTAAATATTATTATTTTGCATTTTTATTTAGGTAGAAAAGTGTTTTACAATTTTTTTTAAAATTAGGCCCATTTTTTATTGTTCGCCCCTAGGCCTTCGAATATCCAGGGCCGCCCCTGATTTAACTAATTAAAATTATTTTTTATTTTAACTAATTTTCTTGGGCTTCATTAGTGAATCTCTTGTTTTGTTTTATTTACTAAAATTTGAAGTTTGTTATCTATTTATGTTTTAAACTCAACTTTTGAGGTTTGAAATGATATTCAACATACTTGTATCGCAATTTCAAACGCTGAATGCCTTTTGGACACAAATTTAACCGTGATGTTTAAGAATTTTTTTAATGACTAGGAACCGTTAAATGACAAGAACCAAACTGTTAAGAACGGTTCGGTTCCTTATCGGTTCTATAAAATAATTTATAAGGGCCAAACCGTTAGTAAAATTTCATATTTTTAAACGGTTCCACATATTTTGCCTAGAAACCGAACCGGTCTTAGGCCTATAAATTAGTAATAATGCAATTTGATAAAA